CGGTTCAAACAGCTCCCAGCCCCGAAACCGGTTAACCATTCTGATTTGATTTTGCGAACATTGATTGAAACATGCAAATAGGGAAAATGGTTTGATAGGGCTGCAACTTTGTCAAAATAAGTAATCCTCACATTATAACTCAATGAAAATTGCAAGTCAAAACAACCTTCACATCAATCATCTCAACTTGAAAATTATGGTTGTGAAAAAATTTGGGATTTTAAGCTCTAAAAATAGTATATATTGTAACAAATTATCTAGATCATCCATATCCACTATGCTTTAAAAATTTATAGATCCACAAGATCCATACCATTTTTTGAGTTTCAACTTTTATTATTAGTGTCAGAAATTTATTTTAGAAGCATGATAGAGATTTCTGTCCCCAAAAGTACTTTCCGGACAAGGATTTGATGTGAGGCTTTATTTTGTTTTCATAAAACCTAGGCCTTAGAAACTTCATCCTACAAATAGTGATATAGCGACTTGTCATTCCGTTTATTTATTTTTGTGTACTTTTCTTTTTTAAAAGAAAATTTCTTAATTTTTTTTTTATCCTAGAATAACCTACTGATCAAAAAATAAAATTAAAATTTTTGGAATTTTAAAAGCATTTTAAATTGTAAAAACTTATTTTCTTTTATAATAGGGTGCAGTTTGTATAGAGCCGAGGCTTTAAACAATCAAAGTAGATCCCTCCTTCAAATAGTGTCAAGAAATGTAGTTTCAATATTGGAAATCTTTGTGATAGCCTTAAAATATATATTCATCTCTAATTATAAAATTTAAAGCTTAAAAAATAATGTAGATCGAGGAGATCTATGAAAACTTGAAAATCTTGAACATTGACGATCCAAAAATACATTTCAAGATACATTATTTCCAAAAGTTGAAATCTATTTTTTTTATCATGTTCATACATCTTGATGCCGAGATGATTAGCTTGAGGATATTTGAGCATCAAAACAACATCTTCTAATAAAAAATTTGATGTGCGCCTTAATTTGGTTGTTTAGAGCCTCAACTCTATATAAACTCTTTCCTTTATAATAACACTATGAAAAAAAGATGACTAAAAAGTTTTACCGATCTTTTGTTATTAAGTATTTGAATATCTGTAAACTGTTTTACCCATCTTTTATTATAAAGTATTTGTATGTAAGGGACAAGAATGAGTGTGACCTCCATGTATCCAACTTTGTGTCTATTTAATGACACTCTTACAATCACCTATTTTGAAATTTAAGTGACATGAATGATTGTGACATCCTTGTACGAAAGATAAATGTTCTCTTTGTAGACAATCCGATCTGTATATATTAAGGGTGATGTTTGTATAAAGTGTCAACCATATACTATTAAAGTAAAGTGTGCCTCAAAACTATGTCGAAAATGCAGTTTCGGTGCCACAAAGCCTTACAATGATATAAAAATCTATTGTGGCCCCCAGTTATGAAATTTAAAGTGTCACAAATGGTGACAATCAAGCATATCTATAAACACTTTACCATCTTGAAAATGGACAGTCCAGAATTTGTATTAAAAGATAAACTCTTTTTAGGACTAGAAATCTTTTTTTTTTTTTTCCCATGTATGTGAATCTCAAGGTTGAGATGATCAATTTGGGAGTTTTCCAGCATAGAAACAACCTTCACTAGTGTGCTTTTTTAGGTACACCTTGCATACAGTCGAGACCGTGTATAAACTTCTACCATATATTAAAGGGTGAGGTTTGTATAAGGTTGCCTCCTTATACGGTACAAATAAGGTGTGTCAATAAAATTTACTTAAAGATGTCATTTCGGTCTAAAAAACCTTGATGGTTCAAAGATCTCTTTTCATCCTCAATTAAAAAATTGAAAAATTGAAAAATTGTATAAATCAAGCAAATCAAAAAACAATTGAAAATCTTGAAAATAGATGGTCAAGATAACTTGTTATAAGACGCACTGTTGTTTGGACATGACATTCTCTTTTTTCTTCATGTCCATTCATCTCGATGTCAAGATGATCACTTGGAGGGCTGTCTAATGCCGGAACACTCTCCTCTAAAAGATTTTTTAGATGTACCTTGCTTCAACAAAATAAGGTGAACCTTATATAAACTTTTTCCTATATTAAATAACAGTAAAGGGCACAACACGTACATAGCACGTGCATATACTGATATCCATAGAAGATAGAATGCAATTGAAGCACACACTTATTTTTTTTCTATTTAGTGTGATTTGCAGGTGCTATAGCGACTTCTCATTTTGTTCATTTATTTTTGTGTACTTGTTTTTTTTGGTTGTTGGTTTGATTTCGCCAGCCTCTGACATTCTATGCGTCCTCCGCACTTTAAAAAATACTAACTCTTAAATTATTTAAAAAAGTAAGTAGGGGTTTGTCTTTCTCATTTAATTGCGCCTCAAAAAAAATACAATAAAACTAGCTGATGCCGAATCCAGTATGTCACTAGGTATAAGGAATTTGTATATATTACTCCTCTCATAGTCATCCGATCTAAATGAATGTTTGAGATGGCTCCAAATCCATTATCACATTTAAATATTATTATTTTTTTATTTTTTTTACAAATTGTATTGATACCAAATCTAAAGCGTCCAATCATCTCATAGGATGCAGTTATAAGAATATAAAAAGGATTTTTGAAAACGTAAAATGATCAAAATATCCATAAAAGTTTAAAAGGCAATTTGGTCATTTTTATTTCATAAAAATGTTTTTTTAATAATTTTTTGTTTGCACCCTGTTGAGATGATCACAAGCACCAAATTTCATGTTCATTTGAATTGTAAAAAAATACAAATAAAATACTATAGGCCGTCAAATCTAGATCAAACGGTCATAGCACCTTTGTGAAATATGGTTGAAGGTATCCCAACCATAGGCCGTCAAATCTAGATCAAACGGTCATAGCACCTTTGTGAAATATGGTTGAAGGTATCCCAACCATTCATTCAGATCGAACACCTGGGAGTGAGTGACATATAGAATTTCTGTATGCCTAGTGGCATATAAAAAACTTTCTCACCTTTGTGAAATATGGTTGAAGGTATCCCAACCATTCATTCAGATCGAACACCTGGGAGTGAGTGACATATAGAATTTCTGTATGCCTAGTGGCATATAAAAAACTTTCTCTTACATGTGACCCCAACTGTGTGCAAAGTGTATGCGGTCCCACTCTTTAATCGCCAGTTCTGAGTAGATGGCTAGAATGATTTGAGTCACAATGCCACAAGTTGGTTCTTGAGTATCGGATCTTGATCAAACAACTCAAAGTTTTTATTTTAAATTTTAATTTACAATTTATTTTGCATTAAAATTTGGGGCATGCACATATCTAACAGGGGGTACATGATCATTATCTCATCATCGTCAGAGTTTTTTCTCAACTAATTGATAAAAATAATAATAAATATTTTATTAGATAAAAATACCAATATGCTCCTAAAACTTTTGGGCCATTTTGGTCATTTATTTTCATGATATAATTTTTTTTTCTATTTTTTACTAGCTGCGCTCTAATAAAAAAGATGGGCAACCTGAATTTCACTAAAAAAAATATTTTGTACAAAAAATTTAAAAATCAAACAGTATTTTAGGTGACATCGTAACATGAACAACCTTAACTAATTTGGAGATTCTATATCCATCTTGGTTGACCCAACGAAGCAAAAGAACACGATACTCGTTCTAAAAATTGGTACTTGAATTTATTTAAAAAGAAATGCCAAAAATAAAGATTAAAAGGTTGGGGAATGGGTTCGGGCATGTGTATGGTTAGGATGCATATGGTTCAACGTAACATCCCGCCCTCTATTCCAATGTTAACATATCCTTATATTTAAAAAACAGAAACGACACACCCTTGTTTATTTTTTCAAATAGATTAGAAGTTAGATTTTTTAAAGTATTAATGAGGTGGTGTTATCTATTTTTTCAAATAGGTTAGGAGTTAGATTTTTTAAGATATTAATAGAATGGTGTTAGTAGTTGGAATGAAAACCACAACGTGGTACCTAATATGTAGGGTGCTACCACCGTTTCTTGTAAAAAAATAAAAATAAAAAATAAAAAATAAAAATATTACCATCAACCACATCAAACTATATATGAAAAATAAAGTGTACTTCCGTCCTTTGATTGGTTAGCGCTTGAGGATTTGCATAACTGGATCCTAAACTCAATTCGGTACAAAAATAAGGGCCTCGCCCAAAAAAAAACATTATTATTGTTTTCGCTTTGGCTGAGGGCTTACCTACTTGCAGTATATCTCACACGAGCGGTCTAAGGCCAAGAAAAAAGTAGACACGGCACACAACTTACATTTCCCTTACCATACTTTAAGCAAGTAAAAAGTAGGGGTGGCAATCGACCCAGAACCCGACATGAGGGGTTGACCTGATCCAATTTGGGTTTAGATTAAAAAAAAAGTTGGACATGATAGGTCCGGTCCGGGTCCATATTTTGGAACCAAATTCTAGTTGGGTCTGGGTCCAAATCTGCTTGGGTCCAGATTTAAGTCCCACACTGTATTTTTGGATCCAGTGAATTCGGGTTCTTGCCCTGCGGACCCGACTTGACCCGTTGCCACCCTTAGAAAAAAGTTTGTATAAGATTAAGGCCCCAAATAATCAAATTAAAATACACCTCAAAAACTCATTAGAAGAGATTGCATCTCTATTTAAAGACTCTCAAATCGATTATCTTGACATCAAGATGTATAGATGTGAAAAAAATAGATCTCAAGTATGACAAATAGTGCATATTGTAATGCATTATCAGTGCCGCCAATTTTCAATTTTTTCAAGCATCTATATATGTACTCGATTTACATTATTTTTAAAGTTTTGAATTTTTATAATTAATGGTAAAATAAGCTTTCAGGCCATCATTTGTATTGTTCAGGACGTATACATTCCCTTACTATTTATAGGTATAGGTATGGCTTACTCTAATTGTTTTAGGGCCTCAGCCTAATACAAACCACATCTCTATCTCTCCCTCCTCTCTCTCTCTCGTATGCAATTAAGCCGTAGGGTAACATATATCTTCAACCTTCGCCTTTAAATAAGCCGCTCTCTTTTTTATTGTCGCTATACCATGAAAGAACAGTTGAGCTCTTTTGGTAAGTCTTCTCTCTCTCTAGAAATGGCGAGCTTGGACAGAGGTGCAGGGGTCCGTAGGGGTCCATGGAGCCCTGAAGAAGACACGCTCTTGCGAAGATACTTTCAGGACAATGGCGAGGGTAATTGGAGGCTTCTTCCAGCTAAAGGAGGTAATCTCTCTCTCTCTCT